CATTGATTTTTTGTGTGGTGTCAAAAGCGGAATTCCAGGGGATGTAGAGACCAGTGTGTGTGTTTTTGCGGTGAATTTTGGTTTTAAACTGTGTGTGACTTGTGTTTATATGTATGTTTAAGAATTAAAATATTTAATAACTTGTTTAAAACAAAAGAAAACATAAGAAAAGAAAATATTAAACGCATACTACACAATAAGCCTAAAACTATAAAAAAACACATAAAAAACGACACACATTTGTTTATCAAACACCTTTAAAAATTTCAACAAGTATATGAATTGAGACCAAATTTCTGTCTGTCTATCTGTCTGCATGGTGTTGCTAGTCATCACCACCCACCGCCAACTCTTGGGATACTCTTTTACCACCGAATCGTGGGATTGACCATTACAACGCCCCCACGGCTGAAAGGGCGAGCATGTTTAATGGGATGGGGATTCGAACCCGCGACCCGTAGATTGCGAATCGAGCACTCTAACCACCTGGCCATGCCGAGTCCAAACGTTTAGTAAGTCTTAGGCTAACTGATTTTGATAAACAGAAGATAAGTAATGAATATTGTGACCAAACGCATTTTTCTGAATAAAACTGATCAGGAGGTGTAAGACTAGAGGGAAGGCATGCTAAATTAGAGACGGCAAGCGCAGATAGCCCTCGTGTAGCTTTGCGCGAAATTCAACACAAACAAACATTATCTTAAAATATGTAACATTATATAGTCTTGTTTGTTTGGTTGAATTTACGCACAAAGTTACACAATGGGCTATCTGTGCTCTGCCCACCACGGATATCGAAACGGATATCGAGAGATGGTACAAAAATTTGTAAAAGGTAGTATAAACTGAAAATTAATCTTTCCGTGAATATGTAAGTTGGGAAAGATTACTGATATAGTGATCTAGAATTGTGGGATACCATACTAAGACTTTTATCTGAATTATTAGTATAGACTAAATCATTATATCTTCTTTGACTTCTGAAGTTTCTGCCCTTTCTTCCAGATTCACCATTTAGTAAATTATACTCAAACTTAGAAGCTGAACATTGTTAAGGTAAATCCCAAGCATCTCTTTCAAGTGTATAACAAGGATTTTGTTCTTGTTTTAAATCAATGATCGAGTCTATACTTTGCTTTCTGTGTTCACTTTATTATTTTGCAAATGGATATTTTTATCCCTTTATTGTAATACTTAGAACATAAATATTTGTTCCAGCTTTACCTGTGAAGACCATGTTACAACAGCGGAAGTCGCGTGACGCTGGGAGCATGCGCGCTGGAGTTTCTCGAATGATCATGAATTTCCTAGTGAGTTCGAGACGCCCTCTTTTTTTTTTAGTATATAAGCCTGGCAGAGAAAGCCTGCGGGATGATTGAATGAAGAGAGTTCCGGGTAATTTACGATTCTGTTTTGAGCTAGTGTGTGTTTTCAAGATTGTGAATCTCTGTGATTTATACCGTGTGTTATAAAAGTAGTTATGTTTAGAAATGTCCTGACTGTAGAAATTCTGTGTATTACAAAGTTTGTATCGCGAAAGAATAAACTAGTTTTAATGAAGAAAGGACTTGTATCGCTGAAGTTTCTCGGAAAGAATTTCTACGGGAAATTAACCAACAAGCAGATACGCAACAATATTACTTATATAAGCAATTTGTTACAACAACAATTGCTATGATGCGAACACCCTTTTCAAGCTGGCAAAGTATGATTATAATTATTTTACTTGTCATCAGACATTGGTATTAGACCTATAATATTTTTCAACACTGCAATATCTAGTGTTAATTATAGCCATGCTTCGCCAGTTTGAAAAAGGCGTTCACACCAAAACAGCAACTCATTTCTTATTGTGATTAGTATCGTCTTAAAACAGAGAAATAAATCCTAAAATTTACAGTTTAAAGTAGTAACGTTTTGAATATTTATTTTCGATAATTTACTTGTTGAATCAAACATTCAAGATATTATTTCTGTATTCGCTGACAAAAATAGTTCAAACTGTAATAGACAAAACTCCAAAATATTTTAAGTATGAAAGTGAATGGGCATGATTGTTATTAAATATTTGATTACAGCAAGCTAGGATTGTTAATTTTATTAGTTTTTTGCATCAAAAAGTAATTTACGTGATAAATTATTTACACAGTAATTAAAAACAATTTATGGAGTTTTACTTGTTTGTGTAGCATTAAACAACCCGCGTATTATGAAAGGTGTAGCGCGATCTGTCGGTGAAGAATGTATGAAAGTATTGTACGCGTTAGTTAGGCCTAAAGTCATATATTGTTTTATAGTGAGAGGATTACAAACGTAAAACTAATATTAATTGTACTAGCAATAGCACTACTTGTAATTAGACGAATTGAAAATGACATTACCAATGTAAGTTGAAATTAATTAAATTTCTTTAAGTGATAGCATTCATAATAAGTTTAGTCCTTTTTATATATTCGTGGGATTCAGTATTTGTTATTCTAGTTCTGTCATATCACTATTTTACGTTTAACAGTAACTGAATAAGTAAATAAATTATTTACGAACAACAACTTGAACAAGGCACCATTTGGTTCTTCAACTTTTCAAAGCTATCATTGCAGTGCAAGTTTAGCGCACACCCCCATGAGCAAGGTAAGGATTTAAACCCACCTTTCGTTTTATAGGAAATCGGCAATTACTCGTATAAAATTAAAATCCTCTTAAAAGTTAAAGTACTGGTATCCAATGCTGCTGACACCGAGTAACAGTAACAGTAATTTATTCCATAAGCTCATCACCCTATTTGTTAACGTCAGAAAAACAAAACTGTTCTAAACAGTAAACTGGAGCATAGCATATTCCTTGAAAGTCTTCAATTTGGGTCCTTTCAAAGTTTCGTCCTGTCATCTTTAGAAAGAACATAAAAAAGTAAGAGGCTGTTATCAAACACCTGGATACTCTTGCTAATTTTAAATTTAATAATATCACCCTTTATGTTCGTTTCTCAAGATAACCCTTAATGTTCCAGCCAAGGTATCACCCTAGTTCCCCTGCTCAGTGGTCCTTTTTTATATGGAAACAAAACTGTACACAGTATTCTCAGTGAGGTGTAACTATTGTGGGCTTGGTGTCACTTTGTAAATTGTAGTTAGCATGCTGCACTGTAGATTCAAAAGTCTGTGGATTGTGTCCATTTACCACAGAAAAAAAATCCTAGTACATACGTGGGGGAGTGGGCTCATTATAAGAGTGATGGTTGAATCCCACTTCTCAGTTAGAGTAGCTTAAGAGCTGGTTGTGGGTGCTGTTAGCTAGCTCCTTCCTTCTAAGTTCTACTTCTAGTCAATCCATCTAAAATTAAGAAAGGTTAGTACAGATAACTTTTGTGCAAATATCCAAAATAAGAGAAAGCCTAACTAGTGAATTGTGTAAGAAGATAATTACTTCTCTGTAATTCTAACCAGTGTAGATATAAGTATACCCAAAACTTCTCGTAGCTTTGCTACTAGCAACATAGCACTATCTCAGTGGCTTGAGTGACTTATCCACCAAAATGCAAATATCCTCATCAGTCAAGTGTGTTCCCATTAAATGTGTAATCCAAATTATGATAACTCAATTGCTTTCATTAAACGTCTGTAATTATAGCACTGAACTCTTTATTCTCCTTCAGAAAAATAGTGAACCCATTCGAAAGTGTTCAAATTTTGGGTCTTGTTTGAAAACCAACTGTAGCACTGAACTGTTAGTTGCTCATCAGAGCTTAGTAGAAAGTCAGTTGACTTATAATGCAAAAAAAATTAGATTAATCACACACAGCCCATTGTATAACTTTGTGCTTTACAACAAACAATAAAAAAAAGCACTATTAGGTTATTTGTTCTTGAAGATGCTTATAATTGAGTAGTTGTTGGCATTTGGGCAACAAAGCTACAGGTACTAGGAGTCTTGGGTTTCATATATGATGGATATTGGCTTCTTTTCTTTTTTTTTAACACTAGGCACTGTTGGCCAAAATTTGGCAAATGGAAATCTGTAATTTTTTCAAATGAGCTCTGACTTGCCACAAGGATCTCCATTGAGTATTGCTGTCTTCTTGACATATGCTTGGCTGATCTGGTCTATGCATTGAAACCCCCTGTACGTAAGTTGACGATACTATTTTTGCAAGTATCTCATACATGCCAATATTAGTTTGTGAAGCAAAATTCAGTTCCATTTTATGATACTAAGGAAAATGTTATATACAGTTTGCCAAAAAGAAAAGTAGTGAAACATTCAATATAGTAACACATAAACATGTCTATGTGTTTGTGTGTGTGTATATATAAATATATATATATATATAACAGATCCTTAGATATGGTGCATAAAAAATTAAATATATATATATATATATATCTAATCATTAGGTATCCTAATATTTTACATTTGAATGACTATTTAAAAGAATTTTAGATAACATATGGACAACACACCTTTGAGGAAAGTAGAAACATTAAAATTTAAACCTCTCTTTATATTTTCTGGGAGTTGTTGATTCTCCTTTCAGACTCCTGTAAAGTGCTGGCCTCTGCTACTCTGATAGCAACTTATTCCATAAACCAGTCACCCTGACAGAAAAATAAAACTGTCTGCTAAGTCTGTCTTTTCCAAAACGTAGTGTCCTCTTATCCTCAGCATACAGCACAAAAAAATAAGAGATTTAAATCTTTTAAATTTCCATCAGCTCACCTCTTATTGTACTTTTCTCAAGAGAATGTAAAAGATCTGAACACATTCCCATAGGATAACCCTTCCATCCCTTGAATCTCACTAGTAGCCCTCCTTTGAACCCTTTCCAATAAGTCAGTATCCTTTCTCAGATGAGAATACCAAAACTGCTCATCAGTGCTTGTGTTAGTGGATGTCTAGAATTTTCCTTTGGATGCAAAAATTGAATGTGTAGAAAGTACTTGGGACATTCATGATTTTATCCCACCAGTTTTCAGGCCGACCATATTTTATCACTGTGACCCTAAAAATATTTTTTGTTGTATTGTGAAATAAAATTTTAACTTGAGCTTAAAAAGTTAAATTGCTGTTTTAGTCTATGAAGCTCATTTGTAATGATCACAAGAGTAAATCACAAGTTCATTCGGCAATTACCCTAACTCAGTGAAATATTCAGAATACTCTGCATCATTTATGATAAAAAGACATAAATAAATGTCCAGTCCAAATCAACTGGTTTAAAAAGTCCAATGTAACAAAGTTGTAGTTACAATGACAGCGTAGTGTTCTAAGACCTGTTAAGTTTTTGGATGGGATTTTTAAAATTAATGTTCTGGATATTTTGGATTTCCTATTTCTGTAAATTAGTGGAAACGTTGATACTGAGTATTCCATAATTGGGATAATTAGTGATATGTAAAGAGGGAGATACCTCTTTTGATTTATAATTAATATTTCTATAAATACACCCTAAATTCTGTTAGCTTTACTATTAGCAACAGATCACTGATTTATTGGTTTGAATGAGTTATCCACCACTATGCCAATTTTTGTTTTCTTCAGTCATGCTATTAACGTAACATCTAAAGACAACAAACGAGCCCATTAGTCTAAAATAGCTATCCAAACCACTAAACTAAAAACAATCTCTCAAAGATACCCCTTATTATTTAAGTATTTATATAGCCTTCTCTTAAACCCCCTTAAACTTACTGCATCCATCATGTCTGAAGACAACTCACTCTAAAGGTCAACCATCTTTTTAGAAACCTGAAACAGTTTTAGCTGAAGATAACTACTACTCTGCCAAAATTTGTTTCTCCTTGTCCTACCATTCTTGCTGTTAAGTCGGAAAAAAAAAAGATGCATCAATGCACCATATTTTCTTTATATTAAATATCTCAATCAGAGGTCTAATTTGTCCTTGTATGATAACCTTTTAACCCCAGGTAACATTCTAGTAACCCTCCTTTGAACCCTTTCCAACAATTCAGTGCCTTTCTTAAGGTAAGGAGCCCAAAACTGAATGCAATACTCCAACTGGTAGCCAACCAGTAACCTATACAATGAAACTATAGCTTTTTAAGTTTTACTGTTTATTCAGTATTTCTGTAAATGCAACGTTAAATTGTATTTGCCCTACTACTAACAACAGTACACTGCTTGGATGGCTTAAGAGACAGATCATTCAAAACACAGTGTTGTTTTCTTTCATTCAGTAACACTGTTAAGGTTATTCCTATCAAAATTATACTTTTAATTTATGATAACCCACATGCATTTATAAATGTCATCTGTCATTTATATGCTTAACTCGTCAAATAATCTAAATCCTTTTGTAAAGCAACAACATCCTCTTTATAGTCAGCAACACCCAAGATTTTAATATCATCAACAAATTTAAGTGATTTTTGACCATTCCTTCAACTTTATCATTGATGTAAACCAAAAAATGCAAAGGTTCTAACACTGAAACCCGAGGTACCTGACTTGTGACATTAATCCAGTTTCATTGGATTCCATTTTAAACAACCCTCTGCTTTCTCTCTTCAACCCCTTTTTTTGATTGAATAAGCCAGATTGCTCCCCCACATCTATAATATATTTTTTTTAATAAGCCTTTTTATTTGGCATCTTGTCAAATGTTTTTTTTTTAAATATCTAGATATTTCACATCCACACCTTTACTCTCATCTACACATTGAGTGGGTTCCCATTTATATTAAACGTGTATTCCCAGATGTATTACCTTGAACTTACTATACTTAAAAATCATTTGTAATATACATCTGTCCAACTTAGCAGTTGATACAAGTCATTCTTTAATATCTCAACATCCTCATTTCAACTGGCTGTTGTTTGCTGTTAAGTGCAAAGCTATACAATAGGAACCTCTGTGTTATGTCCCCCATAGGGAGTCAAACCTAAGATTTGTAGTGGTATAGATAAGCCTCAAAGTTATCACTGAGCCACTGGGGGTTCAAATACATTTAGAAATATCCAGGCTTGATGTGGTCATCAAATTTTATTAATTTATTACTTATGCACATATAAATATCATTAACATAAATAATAAAAAGCTGAGGCCTAAGCACTGACCCCTGGGGCATTCCATTGGTAACAAGGGTCTGGTTTCACAGGCTGCCATTAATAACAACCTTTTGCTTTCTACCATTCAACCACCCTACAGCCCAATTAGCTAGTCCTTTCCAACCCCCATACTGGTGTAATTTTTGTGGCTAATTTATTATGTGGCACCTTATTAAAATCTTTTTTTAAAAAATCTAAGTACACCATGTCCACCACATTTTTCAGTGTTTGGATAACAAGCAACATTCTTGCAAAAGATAACAAATTACTAAAACAGCATATTGCTTTGGTGAATCCATTTTAGCTTTCTGTATTATATCCTA